AACTGGCCACAGGCAGAGCACAAGATGAAGAAGCCCTCAGATGCTATGGAGTCCTTGCCCCAGCTCATCTCCCAACACATTGAGAATCTCCCAACCTCAACAAGGTTTTCATCCCAGACACCATGAAGAAGAGAAGGGGCTTAGGGAGCCCTATCTTGTCATGTACCATCAATAACATACACTGTAGCAAGGCAAAAAAGAAAGAAAGACAAGAAAAGGACATCCAAATCATAAAGGAAGTAAAACTGTCACTATTTGCAGATGACATGGTAGTATATATATAGAAAACCCTAAAGACTCATCTGAAAATCTATCAGAACTAATACATTAATCCAGTAAAATTGCAGAACACAAAATCAATATACAGAAATCTGTTGCATTTCTATACACTAATGACAAACTATCGGAAAGAGAAATTAAGAACACAATCCCATTTCCAATCCCAACAAAATGCATAAAATGCCTAGGAATAAATTTCACCAAGAAGGTGAAGAAAGACCTGTACCCTGAAAACTATAAGATAGTGATGAAAACAATTGAAGATGATACAAATAAATGTAAAGATATGCCAATCTCATGAACTGGAAGAATTAATATTGCTAAGATGTCCATACTACCCAAAGCACCTACAGATTCAATGCAATCCATATCAAAATCATAATGGTATTTTTCACAGAACTAGAAAAAACAGTTCTAAAATTTATAAGGAACCACAAAAGATGCCGAATAGACAAAGCAGTCTTGAGTAAGAAAAATAAAGCTCGAATATCACACTCCTGGATTTCAAAATATACTATAAAGTTATAATATAATCAAAACAGTATGGTACTGGCACAAAAAGAGAAACACAGATCAGTAGAACATAAAAGACAACCCAGAAATAACACTTATGTGGTCAATTAATCTATGACAAATGAAGGCAAGAATATACAATAGGAAAATGAGTTTCTTCAATAAATAGTGTTGAGAAAACTGGACAGCTACATGCAAAAGAATGAAACTGGACTACTTTCTTAAACCATATACCAAAAATAAACTGGATTAAATGTGGGGCGCGTGGGTGGCTCAGTCGGTTAAGCGTCTGCCTTTGGCTCAGGTCATGATCCCAGGGTCCTGGAATCAAGCCCCACATCGGGCTCCCTGCTCAGCGGGAAGCCTGCTTTTCCCTCTCCCACTCCCCCTGCTTGTGTTCCCTCTCTCGCTGTGTCTCTTTCTGTCAAATAAATAAAATCTTCAAAAATACAATAAAATAAAGACTTAAATGTAAGCCCGAAACCATACAACTCCTAGAAGAAAACATAGGCAGTAAGCTCTCTGACATCAGTCTTATCAATATTTTTTTGGATCTATCTCCTCAGGCAAGGACAACAAAAGCAAAAATAGACAAATGGGACTACATCAAACTAAGAAGCTTTTGCACAGCAAAGGGAAACATCAACAAAACAAAATGGCAACCTACTGAATGGGAAAAAATATTCATAAATGATATATCCGATAACAGGTTAACATCCAAAACATACTAAAAAGCTCATATAACTCAGTATTATAAAAATAAGTAATATAATCTAAAAATAGAAAGAGGACCTAAATAGACATTTCCCCAAAGACGATATTCAGGTGACCAACAGGTACATGAAAAGATATTCACTAACAATCAGGGAAATGCAAATCAGGACCATAATGAGATATTTACTTCACATGTGACAGAATGGCTAGTATCAAAAAAAAAAATTACAAGTGTTGGCAAGGATGTGGAGGAAAAGGAACTCTTGCATTGTTGGTGGGAGTGTAAACCGGTACAGACACTATTGCAGGTTCCTCCTCAATAAATTAAAAATAGAACTATCATAAAATTCAGCCAATTCTGGTTTTTATCTGAAAAATAGGTTTTTAACCAAAGGACAAAAAAAACACTAATCCCAAAAAGACATCTGCACCCCTGTGTTCACTGCAGTACAAGAGCCAAGACTAGAAACAACCTAAATGTCCATCAATAGATGAATGGATAAAGAAGATGTGGTATACATGTTCGCACGCACAGACACACACAATTACTCAGCCATAATAGAAGAATAAAATCTTGCCACTTGCGGCAACATGGATGAACTTGGAGGGTATAATGCTAAGTGAAATAAGTCAAACAGAGAAAAACACATGGTATGATTTCACTTTTACGTGGAATCTAAAAAACAAAACAGAAACAGACTCAGATACGGAAAAGAAACCTATGACTGCCAAACAGTAGGGAGGTGAAGGGGATGGACAAAACAGGTGAGGGGGACTAAGAGATACAATCTTCCAGTTATAAAATAAGTAAGATGAGGGAGGGGGATATAATATACAGCACAGAGAATCAATAATATTTTAACAACTCTGTAAAGATGGTAACTAGACTTATTAAAGTGACCATTTCATAATGTATATAAACACTGATTTGAATCATTATGTTGTACACCTAAAACTAACAAAATATTTTGTCAAATATTCTTCAATAAAAAAAAGAGAGAAGGAAGTACAGAAATAACCTACATTAAGTCCTATATTCCTGAAATGCACACTTTTCAAAATTCCTTCCTATCATCAGGTTCTAATTGTAGCAAAGATACCTATGTTATTAATCAATCAAATATAGCCACAGTGCTAGCATTACTTTTATCTCTATGTCAAAAGTTAGTGCTACAAGAACTGCAGCAGAATGAGTTAGTTGACTGAAGTATGACTTTTCTTAATATTTTTCTATTACTTTGTTCTGTACTTGGGATGAAAAATTATACTTTAAAAATTCCTTATATTTTCAGAGGCTTTTGTTAAGTATGATGACAAAGATCTGGTCCGATTAAAATGTAATAATGATTAAGCGACTGAGCTTAAAATCTAGAGGGACTTGTGTAGATGATCCTACATGATACATTTTTCATTAAATACAAAGTTCTTCACAAACATGGTTTTCAATAAGCTATCAGACACCATTATTTAAAAAAAAAATCACCATTCTACCTCATCATACTTTATATGCATTTTATGTATTTCTTGTGGCTGAAGATAGTAACTACAACAAAATTAGCTTTCATATATTTTATAACATCCGGCCAAAAAAAAAGAAAAGTAACTCTTATCTTTACTATTGCTGATGTATGTCCTGAACCTCTTGAACAGGAGAGTAACCTAACTTCTTTCTGTACCAGTCAATAAATAAATGCTCTTGCCAGTGTTCACTCCACTTCTTGTCCTTTGAAGCCTAGTCTGAACATACACATATCCACTAACCTCTATATCAAACGGAAGGCAGGATCGTGTAGTGGAAAGAACACTGGACTGAGAGTCAGGAGGCCTGCGTTCTAGTTCCAACTCTGTCAACTATGAGCTGTGGACCTGGGGAAGTCACTTAACCATTCTGGGTCTCAGTTTCCTCATCTGTAAAATGAGGGGATTAGATTAGAGAATCCCTAAAGTTGTTCACGCAAACTATCTAAGATTCTAGGTTAACCAAACAAAGCTACATTATCACACAGATCATTAGTTCTTCTTCCTTCTCTAATTGGAACAAGTCCCTTTGTGGACTGAAAAGCAGTAAAGCTGTACTCAAGAGCAGTGCTTCCCAAACTTTAATGTGCACATGGAATCATCTGGGAATCTTGCTGAAATAGAGATAATGAATCCATAGGTCTGAGTGGCACCTGAGATGCTGCATTTCTAACAAGCTTCCATGTGATGATGATGATGGTCAACAAAATACATTTTAAGTAACAAGCTCTAGAATAGCTTCTCAGGGCATAGAAACTGCAATCTCACTAATCATCTATACTTTTTGGTTTTCTATAGTGAGACTACCCTTTTATAAGTAAACATTGTCTCTCTTGTCAAGGAACTTACAAGATATCTTGGATTTTTCTGCATAAAATTATTCCTTAATTATACAGATTTTAGAAAATATTCTGAGTAGTAAAAGCCAGCTATGAATTATGAATAAATACTTCTTAAAGACATATTTTATCATTGTAAAACCATTCATAAGCCAAATTTTTTCAAGTAAGAAGAAAAATATCCTTTCCTTCCTTCATTTCCCAAACATATTTCTGGATCTTGACATCTCAAGAATATTCAGATAAACTAAAAGAGTGCTTTGGGTAGAAATCTAGGTAAGTCTGCATGAATCACTTCATGATTCTCTGAAATGGTCAAAACCCCGAACTTGAGCCCTCCATAGCTTGAGAGTTTTCTGTGCATGCTTTCACACCACTTGTTCCATTCTACCCCAATCCATGCAGTAGGGAAAGGCAGTATAATAAATTACCACACATTTTAAGCGTCCTAGATTAGCTGGTGATCCCAAAGGATGGTTACCCAGAATAGGGAAAATAAAATAAAATAAAAGAGATACCCTTCAATTTTTTCTTGATGACATAGAGATTGATCCCAATACATAAATTGGGAGAGGGAGGGGCAGAAAGGAAATTTAAGCCTTTCACTCAATCGTATTTATGTACTGGTCGGCTCTTATTAAGAGAAAAGATGCTTTGTGTGCTTCTCTCCTTATTGACTCCCTTATCTCTGTCTCATTTTTAATACAAGTAGTCATAAATTTCATAATCAAAAGAACCTCTAAACTCATCCTTAAATTTCAAGGATATCCTGATTTTTAAGCTGTCATTCTCTGTAGATAAAATTAAAGCACTAAGAGTATTTAAGAAGACTGTCAGTACTACCTGATATCATAAAGCAATTCTGACTATATTATTAAAAACTCCATAAAAAATTTTTAAATTGCAAAATGCTAATCTAATTTATTTACAAGGAAGGAGAAACAGTGAGAAAGTGGAAGTTGGAACACATTAATATTCCCCTGTATTTTTCTGGCACCACTGAATGCAAGATTATTAACAAAAATTCCTTTGGAGAAGTAAAAACTACCTGGGTTTGGAGGAAAAAAGAAAAATTCATATAAATGTGGCTACTTTAGAGAAACAAACTGTAGCACACAATGCAACTTTACAAAATACCTGAGAGCCAACAGCTGGAAATGTAACTCCTTGTTCCTTAAGGTTCTTAATCATTGCTGATATTAGACTAAGCTGTGGATCATTCTTAAATTCATCTGTCCATTCAACCATAAGAGCCTTTAATTTTTCACAGACTTTAGGATGACCCTGAAAATAGAGAAAATTTTAATAAAAAAGTACTAATTTCCTGGCTAATGATATAACACAGATATGTTTAATATAGAAATTATAAAGTGCTATAGACATTTTTTTGAATCACAAATAACCCCTAGCTATAGATGATACATAAGAAAACAGAGTTGGTTACTAGAAATAATCAAATTTTTTTCACACTATGAAAAAACAATAGATGATACCAACATACATACCTCATACCAATTAAAACAGATTAAGTATGTAATAACTTATTTTGGAGGTCAGAGAGATGGAAATTTTCAGAGTACTTTGCAACTAAGTGAGCTTTCTACATCAGGAAGACACAGAAAAGTACTCTGTTTTGTGTTGGTTATTTGCAGACCAATAAAAAATAAGTTGGAAAAGAGAAAATAAATGATACAATTCCTTTATTCCTAATCTCTGACTTTTAAAAATATGCTTGACTGTGTATTTTTTCCAAGTTGTTTAATTATCCGAGGCCTGGTTTGAGGCCCACTGTATGTCAATATTTCTAAAAACTTCATTTCTTCAAAATAACATCCCCCCCTCAAGTATAAAAATCACTCTGTTCACTGTAAAACATTTGGAAAATGAAGAAGTCCTTTCTCTTATGTGTAGCTGTTTGCTTTTCAAAACAGTTGTTTGTGCTACTAAATACAAGTTTGAATATCTCATTTTCAACTAAATTATAGAAAACATTATACTAAAATCTCTTCATAAACAGTCATACATTTGATGGACATTCAGGACATTAAAAGAATGATTATTAACTAGTAGAAAATACCTAAATGTAACTGAATAGCGCAAAACAGGAAAAGAACCATAATCATGCTTGACAAGGAAATACAGAAATTCTGTAAATTATGTAAATTATCTCATTTCTGTACTGTTTCCTACTAAAACCTGGAAATAATCATTTTCCCAAAAAACATGAGGCATTTTCCCTTTTAACATCTTAAAATTTTTCTTGATTATATGAAGATATAATCCTCCCAAGAGTCAGAAATAATTACCTGTAGAATGCACAAATTTTTACTGGGAAAACTCATACATTACTTAGTAACTTCATTTTTTTTTAATTCCTTGAATTGCATAAATTGTATTCTTTATTCTACATTCAGTTAAATAAAAAGCATAGCATTAAAATCCTGCCATGGTCAGGTAGTGGCCTTACTCATGTCACAATGAAAACAGGGTCATATTTTGGCAGTATTTCTGTTCTACATTGGGAAAATACCTCAGTGGCTACACAAACGGTTACAAAAACTGTGCCTATAACAGACTGGTATTAATTAACCAGATGGAGAAATACATGTATTTTCTTATTAGATGAAAGGAATGATCAAGAAAACAGGTTAAATATACTCTAACCTGGCTTAAAAAAAAAAAAAAATTCTCCAAGTATATAAATTTATAGTCTCTTCAGCAAAACATTTACTTTACTTACATACTGGATAGACAGAGCCTAGGAAGGATTATAAAAAAAAGCAAAGCACAAACCAGTCCTTTGTGATTTAAAATGTGAAAAACTGAACATTAAAATACACAAAGAAGACTGTGTTAATTCATTTCTGGAAATAACGTTCCTTACCTTGTTTAGTACGTTGCTCACCTCACTAGCAAAATCTCTTGAACATACTTCTAAATGAAAAATTTTGCCACAGTTTGATACACATGCTCCTAGAAGCTAAAAGTATAAAATCACAAGTTAAAATAAGGGCTCAATTTTAGCAGATAGTTTTGTGGTAAAACTTAAAATGAAATCACTTACAGTCAGAGCTTGCATAGCAACATGAGGATCTTTATGGTTCACCCTCCTCATAATAGACCGAAGACAATCTTTAGGTCTAAAAAATGAGAAATGTAACAATCAATTAATAGTATATCCAGGCTTTTCCCCCCTTAACTATAATAGGCAATAGACTACTATACAAAAGGTAGACTACGGTAGTTTAATTTTTATTAATGACACAAATGAACAGTACACTAACAAGTTCCTTTAAATTTTTCAAATAAAATTAACAGGCTCTCTTCCTTAGCAATCATAGATTAGGCATTTCACACTAATCCTGGATGAAAAAAAGTTCTGAAAATGAAATGACAGACCAAAATTTCCACTTCCAGTCATGATGGAATAATTGGAACTAGACTTATACTCTTGCTATAAACAATGAGAAAACTGGAAAAATATATTTGAAGTATACACTCAGGTCACTGTTTGGGACATTAGGCCACAGGCAGTGCTGAATAATCTCTAAGAAGGAATATAATTAGATAAGCCAGACATTTGCCTCAACTTTCCACTCAGAGGCACTTTCCAGACTACCGGTACAGACTTTCTGCCTAAAGGCAGTTTCTGGATCCTGGTGCAGAGATGGTGATCCCAAGAAGAGAATAGTAATCTCACTGAGTTGAAGGGAAAGAAATCAGAATGCAGGGAGGCTGAGGAAGCTAGAATTTGCAAGACAGAGTAGAAGGAGCTATATGAAGAAATAGTCCTGGATACTTGCAAAGGAGTCCACTTAGGTCTACTGTGGAAAGAACCACACATGCATAGATTAAAACCTCCTAAAGCTGAGCAAAAAGTGACTGCGAGCTGTATGCTAAAGAGTTCCCAAAGCTCACAGAGTTGTCAGAGTTTGTATCAAAATGGAAAGTCCTTGTTAAATATATAGAGCATCCTGTGGATACACAAGAGTTTAGGACTTGGTATTGGGACTGAACTATCGAAAAGACTACTCTAAATCCATCCTATAACTACCTAAAAACAAGCCACAGAAGGATAAAGTTGATCCAAATGTAACATATGTTCAGAGAGAATAAAGTCTAATACTCTTTAACAACAACAAAACCTGGTACTTGATATAAAATTCATGACACTAAACATTCAGTCAAAAATTATTAGATATGATACAACACACAACTAGGAGAAAATTCAGTCAACTGAAAATGAAGAAATGAGAGATAATGGAATTAGCATTCAAAGACTCTGTATAAGCTAATCTAAGTATACTCAAGGATGTACAACAAATCATCAACATAATGAGGAAAGAAATGGTGTAAAAAGGATAAAGCTTAAAAAAAGAAAATACTTCTGGAAATGAAAAATGTTTTTAAAAAGAATTAATCAGATAAGAATAAAAGATCAGTAAACTTGAAGACATGCTTGAAGTACATGAATTTAAGTACAGAGGAAAAAAAGACCAAAAAAATTTTAATATAGAACCACCACTAAATACATTTTTAAAAGAGAAATGGAAATTTTAAAAAATCACAAAAAATATTCAATTGATATATAAGACAATAAACAAAAGTTCAACAGAAGAAACATATCATCTAGAAAAATGGCAAGTTTTAACATTTTAATCCAACCATATCAACAGTTATATTAAATGAAAATGGTCCAAACACATCAAGTAAGAAAGATTGCTAGACTGGGTTAAAAAAACAGGACTGGGGGTGCCTGGGTGGCTCAGTCATTTAAAAGTCTGCCTTTGGCTCAGGTCACGATCCCGGGATCCTGGGCGCTTCTTGCTCAGCGGGGAGTCAGCTTCTCTCTATCCCTCTGTGTGTGCGCGCTCTCTCTCTCTAGCTCTCTCTCTCAAATAAAATCTTTATTAAAAATAAAAAAAGCAGAACCTACCTAAATGCTCCCTACAAGAAACTGTTTAAATATAAAGACATATGTAACTTAAAAGTGAAAGAATGGAGGAAAGAAAGAGATACTAAGCAAACATAAACCACAAGAAAGCTGGGGTAGCTATATTAGTATCAGGCAAACTGCACTTCAAAACAAGCCACATTACCAGGGATATAGAATAAAATTACAAAATGATAAAGGGATCAATTCTCCAAGGAGACATAATAGACCAAGATGTATAAGTCTTATCTAAAAACAAAGCTTCAAAATACATGAAGCAAAAACTAGTAAAACTGAAGAGAGACAAATCCACAATTTAGTTGGAGACTTCATTCCTTTGTTAGAAATTGATAAAACAATTAAACAGAAAAATAGGTTTGGGAACACTCTACTCTACCATAGCAGAATATATATCATTTCCAGTACATACAGATTATTTACCAAGACCATATGTTGAACCATTAAAAAAACTTAATTTTTTAAAAAACTGAAATGATACATGCTATGTTGTTAGACCATGATAAAATTATACTATAAATGAGTAATATGAAGAAAACTGGAAAGTCTCCAAGTTCTAAATAACCACAGTTGGTCATAATACATTATCCTTTTTAAAGATTATTTGGCTTGATTACAGTATAATTAAGGATTTCTGTACCTTTGTACGTAACCAGTCTATGGTTTTCCATTCTTTATTTTTGTTATTGACCTATTGCAGGCCTCATAAAGTGAGTTCCAACAAAGAAAATTCTGAGCCCAGATGGCTTCACTAGTGAATTGTACCAAACAAGTACCATTATGCTAAATATACAAATTTTTTGTAGATGTCCTTTAACAGGTTGAGGAAATTACCTTTAGTTCTTAAATTAATGAAAGATTTTGTTACAAATGTATACTGAATTTTTTCAAAGGAACTTTCCACATTTATTGAGATGATTCTATGGGGTTTTTTCTTTAGTCTGATGAGATGGTGAATTACACTGATTTTTTTTTTAAGATTTTTTTTTTTATTTATTTATTTGACAGAGAGAGACACAGTGAGAGAGGGAACACAAGCAGGGGGCGAGGGAGAGGGAGAAGCAGACTCCCCGCTGAGCAGGGAGCCCGATGCAGGGCTCGATCCCAGGACCCTGGGATCATGACCTGAGCCGAAGGCAGCGGCTTAACCGACTGAGCCACCCAGGTGCCCCTACACTGATTTATTTTCAAGTGGTGAACCAAGCTTGTCATGCCTGGGATAAATTCCACTTGACTTTTCTTTAAAGAACCAGCTCTACTTTTGAACTTTCTCTACTGTTTTTCTCTTTTCAATTTCATTAATCTCTGCTCTTATTTTCCTTTCTTTTCTTTTGCTTCCTTTAAGTTTGTTCTTCTTGTTTCTTAAGATAAAAACTTAGATCACCGACTTGAGAGATTTCTTCTTCTAATATAAGCATTTAATGATATAAATTTACCTCTATGGATTGCTGTAGCTACATCCTACAAGTGTTGATATATTTCATTTTCACTTTCATTTCACTGAAAATACTTTCCAACTGCTGTTGTGATTTCCTCTTTGACCCATAGGTTATTAGCCCAAAATGGAGATAAAACGTAATCATAAAAAAGTAATTGAAAAGAAAGAAAACTGGAGGAAAAAAAGGAACAGAAATAAAACATAATTGAAAACTACTAGCAAAATGGAAGCTTTAAATCCAACCATATCAATAATTACATTAAATGTAGTCTCAACACTCCAATTGCTAGGCAGAGACTGTCAAATTGGATAAAAAAACAAGAAACAAGTATATGCCAACTATAAACTATCTATAAGAAAATCTATTTTCTAGGGGCGCCTGGGTGGCTCAGTCGTTAAGCAACTGCCTTCGGCTCAGGTCATGATCTCAGGGTCCTGGGATCGAGCCCCGCATCGGGCTCCCTGCTCCGCGGGAAGCCTCTTCTCCCTCTCCCACTCCCCCTGCTTGTGTTCCCTCTCTCGCTGTGTCTCTCTCTCAAATAAAGAAATAGAATCTTTAAAAAAAAAAAAAAAGAAAATCTATTTTCTATAGTTATAGATAGTTTATCTTATAGATAGATAATCTAATAGATTAAAAGAAACAGACAGGAAAAGACATATCAACATTAATCAAAAGAAAGACAAGTGGCTTCAACAATTTCAAACAAGATAAAAAGGGACATTTCATAATAATGAAAGGGTTACTTCTCTAAGGAAAACATTAACAGTTCTAAGTGCATAAGAGAATTTCAAAATATATAAAAGAAACTTGGATAGAAATGAAAGGAAAAACTGACAAATCATCTAGAACTTCAACATACTCCCCTCTCAATAATTTGACAGTATAAGTAAAACAAACAAAAATTATGGATATGGAATAACTAAACACTACCACCTATCTGGACCTACTGAACATTCTACTCACACATGGCAGATAACACAATTTTCAAGTCTATAGAAAATTCACCAAGATAGATCACATTCTAGACTATAAAACAAATGATAACAAACTTAAAACCATACAAAATATGTTCTTTGACCACAAGAGAACTAAACTACAAATTAGTAACAAAATGATTACAGGAAAATTCCCAAATGTTTAGAGATTACACACAAATCTAAATAATTCTTACATCAAATGAAATCAAAGAAACATAATTTCACCTAACTAAATGAAAGCACACTATCAAGTATTCTGTATAAGAACGTTCATAGTGGTTCTCTTCATAATAGCTAAATGGAATCCTACAATATTTATCCTTTTGATAGTGTTTTATAATATTAAGTAATGCAAATGTTCCTCAACAGATCAATGGATAAAAAAATTGTAATATATTCATACAATGGACTGTCCCTTGGAAATAAATAGAAGTAGTGATATACATAAAAACTTGGACTTAGCTCCAAAACATATTCTACACTAGATACAAGATTACATACTATACAAATTCATTTTATGAAATTTTAGGAAAGGAAAGTTTAATCTATAATGACATAAAGCAGATCAGTAATTGCTTAGGACAGCAGGAACTTTAGGAAGTGATTAAATGCTCTCTATCGTGACTGAAGTAATGCTTATAGTATATATGTCAATCACATCAAATCATCAAACTGTATACTTACAAGGAATGCATTTTATTGTGAGTAAGTCATTTATTAGTAAAACATTTTTTAATACCAGGCCATATATGTGGTAAACCTGTATTTCATGG